CTTATATAGGTTTTACGGGTCTAGTCTTCGAGAGAAGTGCATTCATTTTCACACAGAAGTGGATCTAGTTCGCGTGCATAGATATCTAAATCAATCAGAATGACGCTATTGCTATAGTAATTTCTGCATTAAGAGATAGAATAAAAAGATAACAGAAATAAAAAAGTTGTTAACCTGGTGCAAAAGATGTTGACCTCCTCTCTTAGTAAATGTTGACTACGCTACTAATTTCAAGATATTTAGATTGTTTGATTCATGCGAACACTAAGCGTATGAAGGCTGAAAAGAACATACTAAATAAAGAAACGAGCAGGACTGATGAACGGATTTTTGAGAAGTCTAATAATTCCATCAACAAGAACTGTATTTGTTTTCGTTTTTCTTAAAAGTATGCATTGTTGTTAGCTCACATGATCACTGCTATTTCTGAGCCATTTCGACATGGTTTCGATCTTCTCTCCTTTATCAACAAGGTGAATATACTTATAATATGGTGCAACCGAATGTAGACTGCTTAGCAGCAAACTGGAGTTAGTGTAGAGTCCCTTTGTGTTAGAAGTAGGTATGTACAGGGTAATAGTTTCATATCAATCTAATTGAGAAATTTTAAACATTGTTTACTCGATACCGGTTGTAGATTCAGACTCTCCATAGTCGTTTACCGCAATAAATTTTGCATCCACAAATTTGTGCTCCATAATTTTTTAAGGCGTTCATGCAGGACATTAGACTAAACACTATGGAAAAATTTTAAACACTGCCTCAACCCAAAATTTGTTGTACACAAAGTAAACGACTACGGACTACAGTTTGTTACAAAGCTAAGCTTGTGTATTCGAATCGCGAGTCATACAAAATTAATTTTGTATTTGTCGATACTTTAGTTTCGAGAATACTATAATGGATTTTTTCCCCTTATATTCTGAAAGAATAAAAGTTATATCACACGACTACGACGAGTCCGAAGCTGCAATCGGTGTTGATTAAACAAGCTTTTGAAATATCTTGATTAGGTCGATAGACCTCACCCTACCCTGTGCTACATGTCACTGGTATACAGCCATTGTGAAAGTATGATGATGTGTTCAAAAGACAGCGACATAATTGTAGACATAGATAGACGAACTTTTAGAAAGTCTTTCAAAGGAGAATTATGGAAAGTGTTAAAGAAAACCTATTTTCGTCTTCTAATAGAATACTGTTCTTTTTTTATAAACATGCGATATCGTTTTGTTGTACTAGCTTCAACAGTATTACTCTCCCTTTTTTGACCATTGGTATCAACAAATTAGAGTCTTGGCTATTTTCTTTTAGAATATTAAAATGCGTAGATTTTCTAAACTTGGTAGTGTTTCATTCATGTCAATGCTATTGGCGTTCGTACTTCATGTCTTAGCAATGACTCATAATAATTGGAAACATATACGTTGTAAAACATGTAATTCAACTACAAAATTACCAACATTTTACACCTCACTTTTGTCAAGATGTTATTCAGGAGTTACAGTTCAATTACCTGCATTTTCTACCCAGTTATGTATACCAAATAAGGCATTATATCCTCGACATTTAACCAAGACGAATGTTTTCGACTGCCTTGTTGAATACTCGAAAAATCCTGATGCTGTATGTGCCGCGCAGTCCTACACAAAAAAAGATTGTTATTGTGATTATTCTCCAGTAACAAAAGTCATGTTAGCAACAACAACATTTGCTGCGTTTGCAATTGGTCTCTCGATAGGAATATCACATATTTTATCGGTATTACGTCTGGATCAAGTGCCTAACTGGTTGTTCATAAGCACAGTTACTCTTCTTATAATAGGATTCATATGTATGCTAATTTCTCTAATGTTAGTTGGCGTATTTAGAGCTGAAGATATTGCCAGTCTTATATTTTCAGTTAAATCACAAGAATATTTTAGCATAAATGGTAAGAGAACAGTAACGTTTTCAAGTCAAAAAATTTTCAATATTCTAACATCAAATCTGAACTCATTAGAGAGGTTTTCATTACTAACTTTTACATGAAACAGTGCTTCTTCTATTTAACCCTTTTCCTCACAGTTATTTACTGCTGTGCGAATTTTGAAAGAACTTGAGTTTGCTCGGTATCAGGTGAAAATGTCTGATAACTACTTTATCAACGTCAAGATTTGTGTAGCTAGTATAGTGCATGATGTTGGTTTTGCCCAATGGAGACAAGCAACATGGCAGAGAGATTAAAGAGTATTCAAAAGTCTTTTTCATTTACTTGTTTTGAATTAAAAAAACAGAAAAAATCAAAGAATTACTATCTCTTGGATGAATTATACGTTTTAACTGCATCTATAGTATAAATTTTTCCCAGCTGTCTAAAACAATCATCTTTCTTACGAGTGAAAGAAATGTTTATTGAGGAAGCATAAACATTGTATTGCGAGACGAGTTTTGTAAAATAGAATCTTCTGAATGACGAGCAAGTGAAGATTGAGGTTTAAATTAAAGATATACAAGACGTTCTAGTCTGCATTCTATTTTGCAGGGTAGGACTAGAGCCTAGTAAACGATTATTCCGCACATCCGTTGCTTCCAATTGATTCTCAGAGGGAAAATGGAGGGTTTCGACCTTAAAATACTGCCTCTCCCTACACTGTAATTTGGAATTATTTTCTAACGGGTGTTGCAAAAGTTCTTGGAAAAATGTCTCTTCGTTTTTCTTCCACTAAAACATGTTTTGGAAAAATGAAAAATAACTAGCCAGAATCTACATTTCCAGAGCTTTCTAAGTGTATGTTCAAAAGAATGTCTATCACACTGACCTTCGAGCGGTAAGCGCATCCTTGATTGACACAAAAAACTAGTCCGTAAAAAACAGATGTTGCAAAAGTTGTTGTGCAAATGTCATTTCATTTTTCTTCTGCTAAAAATATTTTAGAAAAAAATAACAAGTTTCTTCGAAATCTACATCTGAAGAACGTCTTCGGCTACTGTTCGAAAACTTTTTTCGTTTCTGATCTACGAGCACAAAGTGAATCTTTCAAACACACCCACGTTTGGTCTAGAAAGAGGAATACATGGAATTTTTCCAAGTCTAAAATTCCATGCCGTTGAGTAGAATGATTTTAACAATGTAAGCTATTAGAGCAGACTTTTCTCTGCAATTCGACGTACTGGAATAGGATATAGGACAAAAGGTTTAGAAGTCATCGTTATTCTGCGAACACTAGTTTTACAAGAAGTTTACAACAAAAGTTATGTCAGAAAAAACACGATTTTTCAAAAAACGATCACTTTTCATAACTGAAAAGGATGCTCAGTTTTCAACACACAAAATAATTTCGGAGAGTCTGTTTTGTAGAGAAAAGTCTACTCTGTAATCTCTTATGGAAAACATAGGTTGATCTCTCATTTTAATGCTATTACTGTTGAAGTCAAAAAGATGTACAACTTTCTTTTCTTTACAGACTACATGTTAGTGCCCTTGAAAGATACACTTTCTGCTCGAAGGTCACAATTGATAGAAATTTGTTGAACATACAGTTAGAATGCTCTTCAAATGTAGATTCAGAATAGCTATTTTGCATTTTTCCAAAACATGTTTTAGTAGAAGAAAAACGAAGAGACATTTTTCAGGAACTTTTGCAACACCCCTTATTTTATAGAAAATCGATCTGGAAAATTCCGAAGAATTTTTCAACTTTTATAAAATCCTCAGCGATGTCCTGAGTGTTTACAAAATGTTGATTTTCTACTTTATAGAACATTCTCCTAGAAGAATTACCTTTTCTCATTTGCCAGAAAATCGAGAAGGAATTTAAAAATGAGGAATGTTAGCAGAAGGAAATCGCTTTAGGATCTTCAGAAAGTTACGATGAAACTTTGTCTTAACCAAGCCTAACGCAAGACCCTTTTCAGTATCTCTTTGTGATCTCGAAGTGACCTACAACAATAATACTTCTCGAAGAATATGCTGATTTGGAAAAACTGAGAGAACTTTCCGAATCTATTAACATTTCTGATGTTAAATACTGATTTTCTATGAATTGTTTGATTCGGAAAGTTCTCTTAGTTTTTGCAAATCAGCATATTCTTCGAGAAGTATTATTGTTGTAGGACACTTCGAGATCACAAAGAGATACTGAAAACGTTCTTGCGTTAGGTCAGCTTAAGACAAAGTTTCACCGCAACTTTCTCAAGATCCTAAAGCGATTTCCTTCTGCTAATATTCCTCGTTTTTATGTCTGAGTTTAGCATCTTCCAAAATGTAGTTGGTTCTATTAACTCAAAGACATGATCCTAACAATTTCATTATTAAAAGATCCATATTGTCATCTAATAAGCTGAAATAGTACACCCCACGCAACTTCGAAGTTCAATAGCTAGTAATAACGGTGAAAAAGTTTATCTACAGCCATTTTCTGGAAAGTAGAAGACAATTTGACTTTCCGATCTTCAAAAAATTGATTTAATTGTAGCCCGTACATTTCTGATTAAAATGTGACATCTACCGGCTTTACACGACCTTTCTTTGCAAAGTTATAGAATTTACAAGAAAAGCCCTGAATGTTCATTCATAAATGCTCAAAGCTACAGAAGTAAAACGAAATTAATTTAGGGCTTTTCTTGTGAATTCCATAACTTTGCACAGAAAGGTTGTGTATAGCTGCAAGAAATCCCATTTTAATCGAGAATTTCCGAGCTACAATCATACCTCATTAAGAAAAGTTCGGGTTATATTTTAGAGTTTGTGACTACCGGTTTTCTAGAAAACCAGGTCTTCGAAGGACTAAGGGCAACCTCCATGGTTATATTCGTAATCAGCACAGTTGATAACCTATAATCCACTCGATTCCGAGCGAAAAACGTTTAATCACCTCGAAAGCTTCCTTCGTAACTGAGCTTCTAATGTTGTACATCGCCGCAACTGATTTATTCTCAATTGATTTTCCCACAAGTGCTCTAATATTCATATTAATCTTCTCCGTCGATAAAAAGAGGTCATAAACATTCTTCTATATAAATAAATAACATCTATGAAGTAACCGCATCTCTTACTCAAAAATTCTCGCCTGAGCTTCTCTTAAGTCAATCTTGACTGGAGAATTCTTATTTTAAATACTGTTTC